ATGAATATGCAGCCCAAAAACGTAAAGGGCTTTACCGCTGTGCCTCTCGACATTTTTAATATGGGTTTTGCTCTGCATGTGGAATACTCGGATGTATCCCCGTATGGGTATTTGTGGATATAAATTCTTCCGAGCTTAAACAACCACAATTTACCCACCATTTATTATGGAGTAGGGTTCAGTCATGCCACAGTACACAAAGAGAGCCGACCAAGCACAGAACTTTATACCCATATGGATTTCTTCAAAACGGCTTTGCAATCTCAAGAATTAATACAGAAGATGGACATTAACCTTAGACCCAGCGAACGGATGTTACAATATATCCAAACACAAATAGTAACAACCTTCCGTTCCATACCCTGATCCGAAGAGAGTACTACGCATACATTATTGATTTGGATAGTGTTGCAGACCAAACCAGACCTCCGTTCTGCTCTGTTAAAGAATGAATGGACTACCATTATTTCTATCCCACAAACATCAATAGATTTACCCCGTCCCCGTAGGAGACGACAGATATTTGGAAGACTTTAATATTCATAAAATACGGGACTCATCCACCACTTACGGATGCACTCGTAGAGTTTTTGATTACTTGCAAGCATTATTATTAAGGTATTGTACCGCCATCATTAAGCAAACTTTTAGGAATTTCTTTAACAAAAAAAAAAAAACAAAAACAAACCGAGTCATGCGTTTATAAATTAAAATTGCTTTCGTAGTTAATGGAAGTTTGCATTCTTTTATTAATGAACGCTAAAGGTGGGTGTTCCTGCATTAAAAACGACTATTCATTAGGTACCGATGGTTTGTAATCGTTGAATTAAATCCTGATAAAAGGTCAAATGTCATTATATCATGGGGAGCGCTGAACATGACAAGTGCTTGAATTTATTTTCCACTGAGCAATTTACATACTATCTTGATGGCTTGGAACCGAACCCAAAACATGTACCGTACACATCTACCAATCGCCCGTCTTTAATAGCTTGTATCCTGAAAAAGCGCTTTTGACCGCACAGAAATTAACACTAGTGACATGCCGGCAGCCTCTTAAAAAGAAGTCTAAAATATTAAAGTATTGGCAGCCTCAGTACCATCCTATCGCAGTTTTCGAAACATTTGATTCTTATATACCAAGGCAAAAGTTAAGATTTGTCATGTGATTCGTACAACCAGCCTTCTATATAAATATAATTGTAAATGTTTGGTTTATCATTATCAAAATTTTCAAATGGGAAAGCCAGAGTCCCAAGTGCATGAATGTAAACAGCATTGGGTCAAGCAAATGCGGCTGAAATTTTGTGTACGGCCTGATGATGAAATAACCAAGGAACTAATAAACGCTGACGGCACATTGAATCAAAAGTGAGTAGTGGTGAAACGGGGTGATATTATTGATTCGCACCTTAATAACATTGCAATAGATATTTTCATCCACCAGAGGGCTGGCAACCTGGTAAGCCAAAATGCCCTTGGACCGATAATGAGCGAGCACTACTCGTACAAGGTATCGAAAAATATGGAATAGGTCACTTTCGTGAGATTCAAGAAGAATTCCTGCCGGATTGGGTAACGTACCTTATTTTCAGGCCACCTTTTGCGCTTGTTCTGTAGTTGAATAGCTTGCTAAGTTTTCTTGAATCATAGACGGTACGAGACTTGCGTATAAAGTCAATGCGTTTAATGGGTAGACGATCATTGATAAGATAGACTAGCTGCGTCTCCGTTTACATAATAAAGATGAGAGTGTCTGAATATGATGTGTGGTGCTTTATTATAAACCAGCATCATTATACTTGCTCTCAGAAAATAGACCGCAACACAATAAATTGACATAATGATCGCATCACGGAAAGAAAAAAGCATTGTAAAAATCACAATCGAATAACATCAAATAATGTGTTGATGAGTTTTTTTTAACTTCAGTGGCAGAAGAAATGCTATTCTTCCTAATTCTTTAATTGTTTCCATGAACCTCCCAAATCCCTTTGTGAGTCTGTTTCAATTGTTTACCGACAATATAAACTAATTTGTAGACGGACGTTTTTTCATAAGGATAGTTACGTAATTTTTATCCAGTTGGCAGCACCCAAGTAGTCATATACCTTATCGAATTACTATTACATAGTCTCATGATGTTTGTCATGATAACTGTATTAGTATGAGTGGTCTTGATTAATTGAAGAAAAGATCATTCTACTAAAGTCAGATAGTCCATTTTTAAGATTGGTCTTTTTGAGACCTTCAAGCTTTTTTTACAAGGTTTTCTTTTTCAGACATGATAAATTAATTTTTAATAGTAATAGCACTATAAGAATTGATATCACATTTTCAGCACATGTTCATTAAAGCAAAATTGTTTTGTTGTTATAATAAGAACTTTTATACTGTAGACCAGTTTATTATTATAGGAGGAAGCACTAGTACTAGTACTAACATTAGGACTAACAAGGCCTTGTACTTGATACTTTTGAAACTAAAACATCAGACTTGCCAACTCTTAAAAGTTTGAAGAAGAGGACTATCAGCTGAAGCAAACTTCCACCAAACATGTTACAGGAATCCTTGCATTATAAAAAGTAATGAGGACGGAAGTCTCTTTCTCACTCCAATTGCTGCGGCGTATGCCCACGGCGAAGTTTTATATAGTGACCGGCTGGGGAAGATTGAAATAAATCTGAGCGTTATGTAGAATAATTGTAATGGTAATAGTAATAGTTGATTGTTTAACCAGGTCCTTTTTTTTTTTTTTTTGGATAGTATTAACAATAAACAGATTATCTCCAGAATGGAATATCTAGTAACTGAGGATGTTTGTGGTATTTGAGATATCATAATCAGAGGTAATGTAATAATTATTTGGACCTGGCTGATCTAATGAAAGGATGGTGCAGCTGGGGCATTAATATTAATGATACAATGTTTGAATTGATGGCATTCAATGTTCCATTCACTTGCAGTGAGATTTTTAGATTTTGGGTGTTTTGCAATTTCAAGCTGTAGATTGTGGTTTCTATATCTAATTGCATATTGATATCACCATTTAAACGTGCTTCTGCATGAATCTCTGAGATTGTTGTTAGCTTATCTTCTTCAGATACGGCTGACTTTATACAATGAAATGATGCAACAAAATTTTCAAAGCTCTATCAATGATGTTATTAGATTCAGGAGTGCTCTTAGTATTAGCTCCCCATAATCTCAAAGTATTGAATCTCCAGGTCATTACATATTACATGGGGCATGCTGCAACAAAACCAGACAAAGTGAACATTTGATTATGATAATGTGACATAAATGAGATGAGAGGCTGCTTATGATGTGATTGTAAAATTGTTCGTTTAATAAGATGATATGATGAAACATTTGTATATTGATATAATAAGTTTTAAGGGAAAAAAAACTATTTAAACAAAAAAATAATAATTTAAATCATAGTAAGAGTGGGACATTAATATTGAATTAAGCCTACAAGTGACCTATTAATTAATTATGCACGCTTCTCACTCCCTATCCGAGTTTCAAACACCCGTGATAGAGTAACAACAACAATTATTCTATTAAAGAATCGAAGGGAAATAATACTATTTAACAAATAACAGGGCTAACTTCGATTTGTGTTTTGACTAGTCGGTATCCATCACTTGCCTTTTATTAACTAATTAAACAGTAATCGTCTTGATAATTAATTATGAACTCTCGTTCCGTTATGCACGTAATTTATCCGCAGACAGCTTTATAGCTTGATCAAATCAATGCTATTTTCCGTTACAGTTTAAGTAGGCCGTTTATTGGAGTGTCCGGTCTAATAATCAATTATTTTGACGATGAAAAAATTTAATTTAAAAATCGTTTATTATTATATAATAAAGGAATACTACTAAGATCAGCAGTATTATTGATTTATTCTTATAACAACATGAACAACATAAACTTTTGACGATGGAATTGAGCTACTTATATATCTTTTAGCGTCGCGGAAAAAATGAGACGCTTTTTAGACTACTAATCCTATGAAGAGCAATTAATTAAAATATGGCGTTTGTGCTGTTGCAGATTTTTCAACCCGTTTTTTTTTTGCTACTACTGCGCCTGTCGCAGAAATTTCGAAACACCGTTACTAATTTTAATTCTGGGCTACTAAGCTAAAATCATGGAGGATTTTATCATATGACTTATTTGATTCATCAGATCGGCTTGCCGCAACACTGTGATGAATCAAGAAAGAAACGCAAAAGCTGCTTTCTTTATTATCATTGAATAATAATAATTGTCAATAAAAACCAGGCATTTAATTTATCAAAGGAAAAAAATTATCATTTTTATCAACTATTGGAATGGATTTTAATTTAGATGATAGAAAATCTGTTTTATTTTCAACCAATGTCATCTTTTAGTATCTTTAACTTCAATTTGAGCAATTTGTTGCTGAAAATTTAGTTGAGATAATTGCTTTTTTAATTCAGCATTTTTTCTTTTCCAAACTAGAAATTACTCCTGTTTTTGTCTTTTGTGCCAGTCTTCAGCAACTTCTTATTCTAAGGCTTCCAAATGAGGGTCTATTTCTTATTCTGAGTCTTTTCCATTGATTTGTCATTCATAAAACGCCATGCTTTCTCTTTCATGAGATAGAGAAGGTAATCTTTTTCTAGGGTATCTATCCTCTTTGCAAAAAGACTATAGCATCAACACTCAACGCTCATTGGTTAACTTTTCATTCTTTCAGAAACATTTGAGCCTGAGAACTAGAACAAATTAAGCAAAAATTCTTTAATTCTTTAATAAAATTTCTTTCCACTCCTTGAAAGTGTTATTGTTAAGAACAGGAAAAGGTTCAAACTCTTCATTACCTCCATTGAGTTTTAATGTTAGTTACATTTGATATGATGAAAATGCATAGGTCCATGAATTCAGACATAAGCCACAGCTGTGCCACTAAATCAAGGCTTTTTAAAAATTATCAGCTCCATTGTAATTGGCACCAATTTCTCATTTTGATTTGTATTACTTACTATCTCTCCTTCAGTCTTTGCCACACGGATTCGAGTTGGTCGCTCATTTGTAATGGGAAGATACTAAAAAACAAAGGTCCTAACTCGCGTTAGAAGAATAAATATCAACCGGATTAATCAATGGCTTTTACCGTGTTAGGAACTTTTTACAATTTGCTATGAGAACTGATTATGATGCGCAGAAACTCACGTTTGTCTTTATATTTACACGTCCGCGGCGGATGATGAACAAACGAAGATTTTATTATAAAAAGCAGTTCCGATTCACTTCAGCAAAAATTCAAACCACATTACAATAAATATTATATTTTTCGAAAATAAAAACAAATATGACAATTTTCATCTACGTAATACTGTAATATCTAGTACATTAACTAAGAAGAAATAAACGAGTTGATGTTGAGTTATTACCTTGTGAGTGCTGCTAGTCCGTTAATCGATACAATGCTGCCAACAAAGAAAAATTCGAATCTCAAGTTTAATAAAAATTTGAAAACTGTAAGACTTTGTTATAGTTTCTTTCTAGATATCTGGTATATAAGGTTGGGTTCACAACGACAATTAAGATTTTCGGTAAAAGACTGTCTCTCGAAGAATTTACTGATATCCGTCCCAGTGATTTATCGATACCAATAACGCTGAATACTATTCGAGTAAGTTCTCTGGTAAGCGTTTCATCTGCCTTAACTCCGTTGTTCACAATTTTCAATTCACCATAAATTCATAACTTGCATGAATATCTCTAGTGCCACTTTAGCAGCCTGTATCAGTATAATAATAATACGCTACATCGGTGTTTTTAAGGTTTATTTGTTTTCTGCAAAACGAATTTCGATTCTTGAAACGAGTTCATAGGACAAATTTATATTAGTTTCATGTTTAAACAATGCAAACATTATATGTATGTAGTATTACGTTGGACAACTAACTAATTTTCATTTTAATGGAATAATTATTAGGGGTTCATTGATAGGCACTGTAATCTAAGGTTAAGAGTGACAAAATACACGACTTATTAAATATTTCTTGCATTGTAATAGTATTATTATTAATAATTAAAGTAAATTATAATCTTAAAGGCGTCTCCGTTTTTCCGTTTTCTGAATGATACTTTGCACCCGATAGTCAACCAATTAATTTCACAATCTTTAAGTTAGGAATCTATCTCCCGATTGCTTAGTCGGAACTCATTGCGCCATTGTACCGCATTTGAATAAGACTATTCGATCTTCTCTAAGACTGAGATACGTTAATATACGTGGTAGTTATCTTTGCGTAGTAAATTACATATGCGATTGTCTAAAAATTGTTTTAAGCAAACTGGTTGACATGCATAGATAAATTGGGATACGTTAAGAGAGATAATAATGATTGAAAAGAAATGCTCCTAGAGTTTTTCTGGGTACAAATTCTCATAAAAATTTTATTTTTACTGGGTCAGTTGACATTATGACACTAAAGCTGGCAGAGTCTAAATAGTGTTCAATTAACACAACGTAACTATTTACCTTGATGACAATGACGGAAATCACAAATAACTCTCGCGCTTGTCGTAAATGCGTGTGTGTTGTGGATCAGAGTCGATTCAACATGCAACAATGGACGAGGAAGGACCCAATTCCTTATGGATACAACTTCTCTGACATGTACATTTCAGCAACCCTTTGTCACTGATATTACTTAAACAAGCAAACAGTAGATTGACTTTCAAAATGTTGTGACGCCATCATTGAATAATACATATCGTTCATGATAAAGAAAACGAATTATTTAACAAGGCAAATCCCAATTTTAAGAACCAATAAGGTCGATATTTTTCGGTGCAAACGTATTAAAAAATTGATGTCACCGAGAACATTATGAACATGTTTGACCAAAATAAACAAATCACAATAAAGACTAAACCAAATTAGTAATACCATTCATCTCTCGAAGACGCAAAAGAATAGAATTTTGCTTTTAGGGTTTTGTTTAACATAGGTTGGCTTCGAAATACATGCCTCGCCTTTATTAAATTTGATGTCAGCAACTATTTAACGAAATTTTTTGCTATAAAACAATACATTCGATAAGGGTTTAATTTCCTCAATAGATTATAGTTTTCTAGGGACAATTAATTTCTGTACCTTATTCTTGTTTACATTGAGTCGGACAAGCGAAAGATTGTAACGTCTGACTGACTATCTGATATGGAAGAAAGTTCCATGTAGAAAAAAGCTTGCTTTTCCGATTGTGATAAACAAGTGTCTTAATTTGAGCGATATTAGCATTGGTTAGAGTTACGAGACGCTACTCAAGTATATGGTTTCGCTGCCTTCAAAGCTCATTTATCAAATGTTGGCTTTCTCAAGAAAAGAATTCGGTCACGCCTGTAAACGCTAAAAATGGGTCGTAATACAGGCCATACGATGGATATTAATAGAGACAGAAGATTTGCGTGCTCTATCCGTAACACCTATGATTTAAGATTAAACATGGGCAGATACGCACGTGTGTTTGAACTCGTGGACCGAATAGGCCAAATCCTAATAATTGGTTATGTCGGCGAATTCCCTCGGAATCATTACTAGTGACAAAGTATACGTGCGAGTCTCCGTGCGAGTCTCCGTGCAGGTTACATTTGTAATATGCAACCAATTATTACATCCAATGTTGGTAAATTAATTTGGCACCACAATACTTTTACTATTTTGTCATGTGTAACAATGACAGCTAACCGACAGCTTTTATTTTCAGATAACGAATGTCCATAGATAGTCAATCAACCGATAACTAACTTTACTATTTACCATGGTACGTTTCTACGACCTAGAGTCAAATTCAGCATTCATATATCAGCAAGAGATTCCTATCAACTCTGCGATTTAATGCTAAACTCGTGCCATATCTGAATAAGCTTTATGATCACGAGCAATGCGTTTAAGGAGAGCTGTTTCTAGAAACCGAAACCATTAATTCCAAAAAAGAAAAAAAAAGCAAGCTATAATTTATTATTATGGGTAATTACGATGTTAATATTAATGATTATTAAGTTAAGTTGCTCTTAATAAAAAACTTTTCACGCAATACTGTAACGGTATCTGCATTTGATTTGTATAATTGGTTTGATCGAATTTTTGCACCAGAAACCGCATAGTGATGAACGATCGTAAAATTAAGTATACTGTATCACAAGATATTTATCGGCTATTCTCTTGGTACGTGTCACTTCATTAACACATTATAAATATTAATATGTCAATTTGATGCTCGGTTTTCCGCTCTTTTTAGAAATTACATCGCACCAAATAAATCGAGCCTAGCCAAAGATGGAAGGCCAAGCGAGATTGCAAGTTATACCGTAGTAGTAGATCAATGCTGGACCATTCTGTGACACTGATGTCGCCCCTAATTTAAAAATTAATTAATTGGCAAATACAAATGTAGCACTATGTAATATGTCAACCAAATGATATATACACCCGTTAGGGATTGAATACAAATAGGAATCTGTTGGATGACAGGAGCGTCCACTAACAGCACAACGTGAAAGCACAAACCAACCCGCTCACTCAAAGTGGAAAATAGGTTCTTAAAGTGTTTGTCGACACTTTACCACAGTCCTTTAATCACTCTCTTCCTTTTTTTTCCTATTCCTTCCTTTTCCTTCCTTTTCCTTCCTTTCCCTCTCATTCCCTAACTTTGGCAAGCCAGAGATCTCTCCCTCATTCTCCCCTACAATATATTCCCTTTCATATATATTACACTTCTTGCTCATCCGCTTCTCCGTTAACAGACGTATAGACCAGAGTAACAGGTACTTGTAAAAGTTATCACGACTGTCGACTGTTGACAACATATAATAACCAAATTGGTTCTTCTGTACGTTTGCTTCTCCCTACACTACAGCGTTTACCTTCAACAACTGTATTTCTCCTTACCCGCCTTTCCCCCTCCTCCTCACCTTTCGTTATTCACACATTAATAGAAATATAATAGACACGTTCTCATCCCATACACATCAAATAATGCGCACGACATCCCTCCTTGCATTCGTATTCCTTTCCACGTCTTTCGTCTCTCATCAATCTATCGCTGCTCCAGCAAGTTTATCAGATTCTCTCGGCCGAGAGCTCTTCCGCCCAAGAGATTTTGCCCAATATGGCATACAAATCGATGGTTATCATACAGCCAAGACTATCCGGCGAAGAAGTTCCTTATCCAAGCGTTTCCTTCAGGTAAGAGCGCCCCAAGGAGGCGGTAATAATCCAAAGAAGCCCAACGATAATCCAAAGAAACCCAACGATCCAAAGAAGCCCAACGATAACAACGGGCCCCCCAACGATAAAGTTGTCGGCGACAATAACAATAATAATAATAATAACAACAACAACAACAACAACAACAACAACAATAATAATGGTAATAATAACAACAACAAACCTGCCCCACCTCCCAATGATAAAGGTGCTAACAAGCCTGCAGGTAAGAACTTGGTCATAGAATTAGCTTGAAAACGCGAGATTCCACATTGATTGCTATCTTCGTTTAATCCAAACTTTTTATTAACATTATTTCGTTTTTTCTCCTAAAACCAGATAACCCCACAACCACCACTAGTAAAGGCAACGCTACACCTACAAAAGCTCCAGCAACATCCAGTGTAGCAGCCGGCAGCGGGGGCAATCCTGCTGGCATCTATTCTGATCAGCCTGTTCCAACTGGCTCTCTGTCTACCGGTGCCATTGTTGGCCTCTGCGTTGTGGCAGGTGTCTTTGCGGTAAGCGTTTGTCTTTTTGCGTTTGTTCGCAAGAAGAAGCGTGACGAGAGAACTTCAGCTATTGTTGCCAAATCGGCAATGGCGTTTGAGGAACAGACCCATGACTACGAGAAGCTAGAAGAACCGTCGCTTGGTACATATACTGTCGTTAGCACGTATACACCGAACATGGATGATGAGCTAGAAATCCAGCCCGGCGATAAAGTTACAGTTCTAGTGACATATGATGATGGTTGGGTGCAGGGTGTTAATGAGACACGTGATGGGGCAAAAGGCGTCTTCCCGCGTCATTGTATAGATATTGATGGTAAAAGGACTATGGCCTACGAAAAGAGAAGTAGTTCGATAGGCGGATTTACGTCTGTAAATCTCAGTTAGATAGTCTACATTGTAATCGGGTGGTTGTTTACTGGTTGTTTACTGGTTGTTTACTGGTTGTTTACTGGTTGTTTTTTGTCATTCGTCGTTGGCTTTCGACAGCTCTCAAATTTTACCGTCACGCATTCGGTTAATATTTTACCTTTGTTTAATAGAAATGTAATTGGAGGGTGTTATTTAACTACCAAATATCTTTTGTATTTATCCCCGGAGGTTGGAATATCGTCTAACCCTGTAATTTTTTCCCCGTGTGCTGTGCAAAAAAGCACACAAGATGCGATGCTCTTTTAGCATCTGGTCTCATCATTTACTGTACTTAATTTCATTTCTCACGAAAAAAAAAAAAAGTAAAAAGTACATTTTGAACTTAGAGTAAGAACGTCCCATGCGTGATGATTTGTACATAACAATTTAATGGTAGTGTGTAGTGATGTAGTGATAGTAATAGCCCTTATTTCTTTTTTTGGCAATAAATTTTAGATCGATCTTGTAGCACCATATTATAATGAAATTCCATATTGAGTTGACTATTCCCGAAAACGGGAGTCCAATTTGAGTAACTCTTCTTTTAGGTTTCAAAAGATGAGGTTTCTTCTACGTAGTAATTTATAGGTCGCATTCTAGTATTAAGTGACATAATATTCTTATTGTTTCATATTAAATTAGCTGTCCTACACTGTCCGTGCAAGTTCCACATACCGTACTCATATACGTGGTGTACAATTGTACTAAATCATATTCTGATAGAGACGCATGGGAGAACTGTATGAAGTCATGGTCATTGTCTCGCGGAGGTGCTATTTCTATTGCTTCTGATTTCTATTCAACGTTTCAGCGCCGAATCACCGATTTTCGGGTAAGCATGCAAAAGTAAGTGAAATACAGTACGTATTTACGAGAAAAATAATGAGTATATCAGTGTCTTTGTCTAATGTTTTGCTTGTTACGTACAAAAGATAATAGTGGGGTACATTGACAGTAGTGTTAGGTAAGAGCAATCAAGCGATTGGTATATTATTATAATGAACTTTGCTTTACACTCTTGGTCATATTCTAGATTATTTCGATATAATAACTCTAAAAAATCTATAGACGATACCATCTCGATATAAAAGTTTGCATGTATCATTTCATCTATATTAACAATCGCCATTTTTACCCAATAAGGTCTCCTCAGTGAGAACAGGACCAAACAATTGCTTCGCGTATGTTGGCTGGGGATTGTTGCTTATTGCAGGAGACGTATAACAAGCTTAAGATTGTTTATGGGATGTTGGTTAAAATATTTGTTCAATTTCCTGTACACAGTTTCACGTTGTTGCTGATGCAGGTTCCCCTTTACATTGGGCATGGCGTTATGCCAGTAGGTTAGTTATCATATGTTCAACAGCATTTGATCCATAAGGCACGTGAGCATTTGTACAGAAGAATACACCAGTAAAACTTAAAAAGCTTGGTGGATTAGTGTCCCCAATGTAAAACAAAGCTTGATAGAGACATTAATGGTGCTCTTCGAGATATTACAAAGAGTCAGCTTAGGCTGACGTGGGAGCCTATTACTTGTTATTCCTAATTTATTAATAATGATAGGTTTTAATATAGGCGATCACTATATAGCGTGAAAGAAAGAAAAAGTCAAATCTAAACTGTGATCATAATAAAGAAAGCTATATGATCTATCCTATGTATAGATTCCCTGTTTGAGTAGTGCACCCGTTCTAAACATTCGTTTCGGTCCCGGGAAGAGTAGTTATCATCGTCGCTAGCGACAAACATATCAATTTCTACCAGCAAACATGTACTACCATCACTTTTCAAGCATAAAATAATACTCTCCCTATTACGCTAAATATATTCCCCTCTTACGGATCGGCGAAATTTTTGAAAATCCTGAAATAAAAGACCTGTCATCATCCGAGACTTTTTTTTTTCTCTTTTACTGTACCTCATTCTTGATCGACGCGAAGAAAAAAAAATGAACCCAAGAACGGCCTTTAATGAGTTATTTGACAAGCTTCAGACCGAGTTTATCGATGAAATAAAGGCGTATCAGATGCCTGATGAAGCCATCGATTGGGTTACCAGGGTTTGTAAATTCCGAAAGACAGCATTTGTTTCCTCGTTCAGCTAATGTCTACTTATCGATGTCTATGTTTCAAGAGTAGATGATCAATCATACGGTTCCTGGCGGTAAGTCTTGTGATATATACGAAAGGGAAGTAACGGTTTCTCCTAATGCAAATGATCTGTATGATTTATCCCAGGAAAAATGAATCGTGGCTTGTCAGTCGTCGATAGCTTTCTTATCTTGAAAGGCGGAAATGCTACAGAAGATGAACTGGTCAAAGCCAGAGTTCTAGGGTGGTGTGTTGAATGGGTTAGTTTAGTTTTTATCTGAATCTGTGAAAAGTTCATATCGTCCGATTGCATTTCTTTCTTATTATCCGTTTCTTGCTTACATTTCTTATCAAAGCTACAAGCTTTCTTCCTCGTCGCTGATGACATTATGGACCAGTCAATAACCCGTCGTAACAAGCCCTGCTGGTATCGGATGGTGAGTATTTGTTACAATTGAAACTAATACATGGCGTAAGCGACTAATTATTCAATATTAGGAAGGGGTCGGTCATATGGCTATAAATGATTCTTTTATTCTGGAGTCGTCGATTTATTTTTACTTGAAAAAATACTTTCGTCAAGAGCCCTATTACGTTGATCTGCTTGAGCTATTCCATGAGGTATGCAGAATTGTCCCCGACGCTATTTCTGTTTTCCTGCATAATACGTATAAAGTGCCATGCATTCCATAATGAGAGATTCTTGGTTTACCAATATACTGACACATAATCGCGCTGAATATTCTCCATCTTGTTATAGGTTACCTTGCAAACTGAAATTGGTCAACTGCTAGACTTAATAACTGCTCCTGAGGATCACGTTGACTTTAGTAAATTCAGTCTTGACAAGTATGTTCTTTTGACATTACTATAAAATCAACACAAAAGTTGTTCTAATAAAGGTCTTTTCGGTTATAATAGATATAAAAAGATTGTTCTTTACAAAACGGCTTTCTATTCTTTTTATCTGCCGGTTGCTTCGGCAATGCGAATGGTAGGTAATGAAGGAGCAATAAAGAAACAGCGTCCAAATTCAAAGTTTAACCAGACCATGTTTTTCAGTCCGGTATTACTTCCGAAACAGCATATCAACAGGCCAAAGATGTACTCCTCCCACTCGGCGAGTACTTTCAAACACAGGTAATAAACTTTGTGTAGCTTTTCATAGCGCTTTGGCAACTGTTATATAACTAAGTTATCAATATGACATAGGATGACTATCTTGACTGCTACGGAGATCCCGAATTTATTGGTAAAATTGGTACTGATATAGAGGATAATAAATGCTCGTGGCTAATTAACAAAGCATTAGAAAAGGCCTCCACCGAACAGCGCAAGTTGCTCGAAGTAAGTCTCAGCTTTCTTGTAGTGTATAACGAAACTGTACAAAGATGGGCGTTTCTAATACATTGTTTTTCCCAACTCAGGAAAATTATGGAAAGAAAAATGCAGATAATGTAGCTGTTGTCAAGCAAATTTACAGGGATCTCAAGCTTGAAGAAAGTTACAAGGCTTACGAAGAACAATCGTACGCGCTTGTTCGTAAACTGATCGATCAAGTAGATGAAGAGCAACTGAAGCACGAAGTGTTCATTGCATTTGTGGATAAGATATACAAGAGAACTAAGTAGTTGTCTTTCAAGTAGAATTTCTTCGCCATCATTTCAACCTTTGGACGTTTGTCATTCGTCTATTATTATTTATAAACAAATTCACAATCTGAACCAAACACACACACGCACGCCTCGCAGGTTCTAATCGGCTTCAATTTATCTTTAAACTATAACAGACGTCTCCGGACCGTCATCATTGTATTTGCTTGCCAAGTCCCAATAATGCTCAACCTTATACTTTCTCAAATGTTCACGTGCAGTGTTTTCGGTTGGACATGTCTTGAACTTGAAGCCTTTAAACGCACGATCTTTCACTACACCTTCCCATATTAGCGAACACTTATTTATCTTTTGCGTTTCTTTAGGCTCATCGTCGACCATTTCTTCACTACCCTCCCCAAGTCGTGTTGTATCTGACCAATCGATTCGTCGAAGCATCAATTTCTTGTAGAATTTAATAGACTTTGGGCCGCCCTCGACGACGACAATATTGAAGCTCGGGTTAATCATGACACAACCCGTAAGTCCTAATTGCTGAGCGTTCCTGTCGACTTTGAACTTCATCTTGGGGTGTGACAAATCGCCGACCCTATGGTGGTAGAAGTTGCTGTTAACCATAATTCAAGACGAGAAATGTCAATAATGAAAGAAGATGACCTACTTGAACGCGCAAACAAATGTGCCTTTCTTTGCATCATCATCCATTTTCCGTCTGAGTTTTTCCCGTTTCTGTTCTTCTGTCAGTTTTCTCTCCTCGTTTGTCTTGAGATGCGTCTCTTGACGTTTTTGCATCTCCTTTCGAACCTGCGCTTCAACTTTCGTTGGATCCTGAATAGCGTCATTTGTCAGGACTCGCATAAGATTGCTTAGTTTAACTAGCAAGGGGTTGAGATGTTATTAGAAAATATTTCCAGAATAAATAATGAATCATGAGTGGAAATTTCTTCCACTAGGTAGAAAACGATGATTACCCTTGGGTTGATCGGGCGGAAGTAATCCAAGACGTATTTTGTCCTGCTTTTCCTTTTGCAACTCTAATCGTCTCTGCCGTCGCAACTTCTTTTGCTCCTATGGTATAGCAAAAACAACATTAGTAACGAAATTATATAGAAAATCAATATGCAAATAATATAATCACCTTTTTAGTTAGCATCAATGGCTTAGGCGGCGGCGGGCCATGGTCACCCGGAGGCTTTATCGGGACAGGATGTTGGACATACATAGTGACCAGAGAATCTTCGCTCTCTATCTTTACAACACCAGCATCAATGTCGTCATAAGTTCTATGGGATAATAATGGTACGTCCCACCATTCAACTGTAGGGGGTGGTTTCCTCTGTCGAAAACATGATCGACGCAAACTCTCTTTAGCATCTTATACTAGTCATCAAATACAAACGGTATTTATCTCCTCACCTTTATTGCCTTATCTGAATCCAACTCTGCCTCAATGCCCGCTTTCTTTACATTCTGCGCAATTTCTTCTTTCAGTTTTTCAAGTTTAGCCTAAACAATGGTAATAATTATGTAAAGTAAGATGTATGCATCTCCGAAGCTAGGTTTCCAAGAATGAGAACTAAACATACCTGCGCGCGCATTTGATTTCCGAGAGCCTCGAATTTACCTTTCTGTACAAATTTGAAGCGTTTTCGGAGACGACGTTTTGGCGCAATCGTGCCAATGTTAGAGTCGAAATATTCGCTTTGGGTTATATCGTTCAGATCCTCCGCACGAGCTGTTACTTTCGTTTCTTGCTTAAAAGCAGCAGGAGTTGCCCGTTGATTTGCCTGTTGAGGCGAACATACAATACATTACGTTCTGCAATTTTGAAAGATGAAGATGCACATTAAACGGAAATGAGAATAATCTTGTTGACTATAGGCGTATATTTAGATACACACTCACCTTTATAGTAGCAAAATTGGGTTTGGGAATGAGAGCAGCCGCTCGTTTTATGTCGAGCTTTCCACTTTGATCTAATAGTAAAGCAGGATGAGCCTCAACTTTCAAGCCACCTTTAGCCTTGCTTGAGTCATCAGCTGCTCTAGCTGCTGAGCTTGGTGACGACTAATGTTCAAATATACAAGTAATCAACAAAAGTGCTCTATAATATGTTGCGGGAAGAATAACATTAAAGTCTTTGTTTACCAAATACGGATTTGTCTTCATTATAGTAGATTTAATCCTTTCCTTCGCTTCTTGAATTTTGCGCTGAAGGTCGGGATCGATACCCGACGAGGTCACCGGTGCTACAGGAGCCGCGGGAGGGACAAGTGCTGACGGCATCGTCTGGGGTGCTACTGGTTTTTGTTGTGTCTGTTTAGAGAATGTCGCTAGTTTTGCAGCAATCTCGGCCCGTTTCTGTGCGATGATAGCCTGGATCTAGCAAATGCAAAGATACATGACAGCGCCAGTAATGTGACAGCACGTAAACCAATTCAATAATTGCAAAACAAAAAGAAGCGAGTACAATTAGCCATTGCATACTGACGTGGAAAGATTAAAATCAGTATAGAAAAGTCGACCTACTTCTTCTGGACGAGGTGCACCCCCAGGATTTGGAACTGGATCTGACAACGACGGTAGAAAGTTCCGCATGTTCTAAGAACAAAAACGAGTCTTAGGAACAATAGTAACTGGTTCAAAGCATGTTGGAATTTACTTACTTCACCGTTACTGTCAATTGACAAATAGATCGTACATTCAGCTATTATTATTGTAGGCTACTCTTCAAAATAACAAAAAGTGAGAGTCTACCTTTTATGCTTCTTCGCCTCGATCTGTTTGGTCGACGGTTGGTCGTCCTCCTCACCAAGCAGGTTAGCCGTGCGGGATCGTTTACGCTCCATGGCGAGCTAGTACTAACTAACTAGTCAATCCTGATATCACTAATGAAAGTAAGAAGATGGAAAATTTACTCAACAACACAAAATCCGATAACGACTTATGTTGGTAGTATTCGGAAATTTTATTGGTATTAAGTATTGATCATGTGACAATAAATAGTTTCTTCTTTATTTTGCGAAAGAGAGCCTCTTGTAAATCCAACTTCCCCTCTCTACATATCTATCATCTCTAGGGCCCGAAATTAACTCTTCTAGATTATTTTTAACAGTATCGTTTTCTACCCAGTCGAAGAATCGAAGAATAGTTTCCTCGCCATTTTTAACTTTATCGCGCTGCCGTTGTTCAATCTCAGCCTTTGCAAACGAGAAAATAAAAGTTTATTTAGATCCACTTAAGCACGACACCAAATTTTGACAAAATCCAACTAACCTTAAGCTGCGATGCGGTAGCGAAATCACCTTCATTTATGGCGTTGGCGACATATCTCCATAATCTTCGGCTCTCAATAGGATCTTGTTCGTCTTCGGGGGCGATGATCGGTTCGGTCTTAGGCTTTGCCACATTAAAGAAAGGAGTTTTCTTCCGATCAAGGTGGTTTTCAAGAGTCGATTTACCATCCCAAACACCGGTAGCGGTGAGCAGAGGATCTGTCGAATCGTTGGAGCGTATAACACCGGTGAACGAATGTTTTTCGCCTGATATCCAACCTTTGCCACTAAAGTCAATTCTAATATTGTAGTTTTGTGATTGAATGTAAGATGTCCCACTAAAAATTGAACAGTATTAGAAGATCTAGAGTTTTGTATTTCGGGATTGAAACAATCTCTACGAGGAATGCAAACCTTAGTTCTACGTAAGGAGCGCCTTTCCATAGGCCAAGTATTTGAAGAGAGGGGAGTGTGATAAGATATTGCTCCGGATAGTCGCGCAAACGAACGATGACATGACCGATTTGTATAACGTCAATGCGCGCAGCAGTGGCCCTAAACTGACTCTTTTGTCCGGCTAAATAAGCGCCATTTGTGATAAGCCAAAATTCTTATAATAAAAACGCGCGATCGCAATCATTTATATAATGGAATACATACTGTGACCGTTGGCAGAAATTCCAGCCTTCTGATTCTCGAGATATATGGCAGAGACTGGTGGGTGATGACTTACCTGCTCCGAGAAAAGAACTGTTTCTCCACAGTCGTTTGCATCTTTCCATCGGGCTATGAATTGCTCACCTAAAAGGCAAATACAAAGGATCGATTGTCTTCACTTTAATTACAAAGAAATGCGTGCAATGGTCATGCTCAATAAATATTCAATTAAAGTGAAGTTTACCTTACCAAGTATGGGATTAAACGGCTTTTTTTCTATCTTTTCTTTGTCCTTACGCGAAGCAAAGGAACCATATAGTGTGCTCACAAACCACCGAAGAACATTAACAGCTCTGTCAATTTCTATATTTGGCTTGACAATATCGGCAAATAATTCAGGATAGTCTGCCCAATACTGCCTATTAAATGAAGTTAGATAGGTCTACCATATGGGGACAAGATGTCTTCAAAGACTGTGGGAATGAGTCTACCTACCCATACTCTAAAGTGGATACACCAGATAACAAAAAGCTGGGACAAGTTAAGCTATAAATGTCACCTGTAAATGTGGAGAGGGTTTTCAAGAAACCACTCAGTTCAGACTTTTTTGTTTCAACCACTTGACCATCACTATCGTTATCGTTAGTGACGTTATTATTATTGTTCATTTTCAATGAAACTAAAGATCCAAGGATCGATCAACTACGTTATATGTTGCCACGCTCGGAATTTATGATGAACCTAGAGCAAATAAAGTAAGTTTTAATTTTATATGCCATAGTCTCTGATGAACACAAGAAGCAACGACAGTGCCCCTGCCCCTCCACATGACGATTTCTCACTAAACATGTGATTCATACTTGCTATGCCCAATGAATTTCGATAAATGGAACGACAATTAGTGACCTTTAAATGGTTTACCTCGAGTATTATGTCGATTACCTTTTGATGGATTCAAGTAAAAAGTCTATCGGTCGGGAAAGTTTTCAACCCTAATGACAATTAAAAAATAAACCTTCAAATAGATTTGGCTAACTAATAGTATACATTGTGACCTTCATGATGATAACATAGTTTGGTGGAGTTTAGTAGGCTTCGTATTGTTTGTCTCTGTCTTTGTAGAGTCATATTTTTATTAAAACATTTGTGGAATAAATTATTATACTGAATTTATGAATTGGCCAATAATAATAATAAGCAACAACCTCGCAAAAAAGGCGAGGACAGCACATCGGTTGACTGTATATTGAGACAGATATTAGACTATAACAATCCCGTGCCATTTTTAATGCTCCTATATACTATAGCCATTTTAAGCTCTGCTGGAGATAGTTTTTTGACCAGATTACAGAAATTGGCTTGCGGCATAAAGGTTGCAAGTCACAAAAAGACGAGTTTGGAATTGTCGGGATACAAGTTGCTGGACAAAAGCTTCACCTATACGTTCTTATTCGGGATGAAGATGAGATAGATAATTACGTTCGGTTGATATCCCGATACAATTCACAGATAGAGATACTGTATATAATTTTGTAGAGACGTTGTTGCTATTACGGGTATGGAATGTGCTTTCTATATATGGAGCCTAACTTTCTCTTTTTATAGAAAATCCTAATACTAATCGTTAACCTATCTTTATTATTAAATGCGGATAGTGGTTTACATGGAGATAAAGAAGATAGTTCAACAGCATCATCTCCCCCATATGACAATTAGATTTTCGTTTTCTACTACATATTTTTCGATCTAGTAAAGTTGGTCCCTTTTTGTATCATGTGATTTTCTACTTATACGGATAAACTAAAATTGAATCATATTCATAAAGTATACGTTGATGCGGTAGGTCTGTCGTACGACAAAATACGAATAGGTCAGAGCATAAAATGATTAAACGTGCAAGGGAAATTGGTAAAAAGATTCAAGAGTGTATAAAAATTGTGGAATGGGATTTACCGCCCTTGATGGATTCAATGCTCAGAGACTCGCCTTACATTATGCGGAAATGCGCAGTGGTACCACTTCAGATTAGTAACATACCTACTTAGCGTGAAATCTCATTCTATGTTTAGTTCGTCCGCCGACTAGTAAATTGAAAGGCCATTGGGGCGTCGAATTGAGATCCCTGTATTCTTACACTCGTCAATGTGATAAACGAACATTTTGCACCGATCAAGCTTTTCAGCGGGAGAAGGATGAAGTTTATTACGTGACATTTTTTTGCTGTACGGCCGAATAAAAACGTTATTATCTTTGACAGAAAAGCTATTCAATATTTATATTTGGTAAATAACTCTTTTCTACTAATGTATGGCGGATGTAGGCAGGTATGCGGAATTTCAATAAGGTCTATACCTTGTTGCATACATAATTCTCGCTTTTTTGATCACGATTTATTTTATTTTTATTTTTATTTTTATTTTATTTTTTTTTTGATTCTCCCCGTTTTTCCTGTGATACAAATCATTACGATAATAGTGATGCGGCCCGTTAAATTCAAACGCTAATTTTAACTCTTCAAATTAATGTGCGCCATTTTCTGTGGTACCACCGCAGGACCAAAGAAAAACATCGTAGCCATTTATTTTACCGGTTTTGCTAAGACACTCCCTCCACGTCTTTTGGCATATTCCTCTGCCTTTGTTAATTTCCCGGAAACTCGTGTTGTATGAACTAATCGATTAAGCCGGTTATACGTTGAGGAGGATATTGGATTTTATCTGGGTCGACGTGCATGAGCTCCTCTCTAACAAATCCACGCGATGGAGCATATTCTTCGTCCAAATAATATAAAACCGGTTCTTTTTCAGAGACAACGATTTTTTGAATTGTAAATAAAGTCGGAGTCCATATTGGATCAGTTGCACGTTTCTGATTTTCCATGCCACCTTCCCATTCAGGCATTAGCGAGTAAATATCGAACTGCGTTGCCTTTATTTAACTTTGTTTCATTATTTCCAACCGGACGTTTATATTTTGTGGATAGCCTAGATTCAACTCTTTCTAATGTTATGGCTATTGCTGGAGCTAAGCCCCACCGCGATGATCCCGGAGCTCTAATGAGACGTGTTGGATAATTATTTAAATAATCGAGTACTTTGGGTAAGTACCTAACCCATGCTCTTATTAATTTAGGATTCGAAGATAGAGATTCAACTGCATATTGGATTTTATATAAAATTTGCGCAAGTGTCTTATTAAATCGTTCTAACAATTGCTAGTCCTCGATGACTATAGGGGCAAATTACTCGAATTATAGCATTATGATCTTTCATTAATCTAGAAGTTTCACTCATAAATTCTCTGCTTCCGTCGCATTGTAATAGCTTAGGCCGGGTAAGAGGAACATTTTGGTCATTATAGACTTTTCTAAATGCCTTGGCTACTTCTGAACTGTTTTTTGAAGTTAGAGAAATAGCATGTTTAAATCTACTAGCAACGTCTATGATAGTAAGTACCCATTTAAATACTTTTTTATGTACTTTGTCATTGGTAAGGCATAAAAGATCACACTGGAGCACACAGTTTGGACGCGAAATTTTACCATAACTGACTCTTGGAATATCTTTCGGTGACGGAGCATATTTTTGCCATTCATTCTGGTTTATGACCAATCACGCACTTTCTCGAATGGAAATTGAAATCCTTCCCTTCCATAATCTCCGAGGATTAGAGTGATAGCCAGTAGGTTGGTAAAACATCAGCCCGCAACATAAATCTATTTCCTCATCAGAATTTATGTATATAGTGGGAATACTCATTTTTTAACGCAATAAATTAAGATAAATAATATACTACATAAACCACCCCAGGGCTCCGCATATAGAAATTTATAATGCCAAGAACATTTTACTTTTTTTGCAATATACAATGATCGGTCTGTGGGGCAGAAAGCTTTTCTTCTAGACCCGGAATTCGCAAACAAATATAGAATTACGGGAGGAGTTAAATTGCGAGGTTGAAATTAATCGTACCAATGAGAAGAAAATTTACCAGCTTATGCGGGAGTTAGAAAAATGTGAGGGAGGGCTAAACCGTCAGAACTCGAAAATTTTAGATCAAAAAGACGAAATCGATGATCTCAAAAATCAAAGTGAAATAATTGACGCTAGAACTTCAAGTCTTGTGCGGACCATGGTTTTGCACGGGCTAAAAGCGAAAATAAGAGCGATAATAAAGGTTCGTCTTTTATGCAACTAATAAAATAAGTATTAATGTAAGAATAACGCATTTTGCTGTTTTTCAGTTATCATCACTTGATATGTTCCAACCGTCATTATTTACACACATAAATTGCGTACCGCGTGAAGCAAACTATATACAACAAATACAGTTTGACTGACTATAACCGTCTGGATGAAGTGCATGAACAACAATAAAGTATGACATTCCTTATCCCACAATTAACACGGCTGTAAGCTGTCCTGGCAACGATACACAATGAAGTACATATAATTTCACGTTGTAAAATACACGTTATAATCGTCAAATACGCAAAAAGCTTATCTGTAAAATCTAAATTTGTGTATTTCACGTGAATGATCAAATCTTGTCGTTTTAACCCGTCACAATAACAATTTGTTCGTTCTGGAGTTTTATTACCTCACGTTGGAACTAGTCCTACAGTATATTTTTACATATCCACGTATTGGTATATATACCATACAAGTTTCGGAGATTGCCCGGAAGCCATGGGACTGCAAAATTGATGTTGCACGATAGTTTACCCAATTTCCAACGAACGTCTCGTCTTATAAATTCGAAATGTCCGTCTTACACGTATTGTTAAAGCTAAATTTAGCAACATCTGTAATTAGGCAATAAATTCTAAATTATCGCTATACCATTGATGAAGGCCGTTAAGCAGGCAGGCAAAAACACAGAGTCGCTTGCTGATTAACTGATACAAATAATAAATTTCTTCGCTGAAATATTGAGCAAAGGCATTAGAAAATAACAAGCTTGCCGGTAACCACGTAATTGTTAGGATTATTGGGTTTAAATATAATCCTAGCAGTACTGCTAATAATACGCCTATACTAATAGGGGCGAGAACCAAGCTTAACTTGAAAAATTCTCTTTGCTTGTATAGGTCACGTGATCTGATTAAGTTGGCGATTGCCTGAACTCTGAAGACAAGGCTATTTATTACTATGGTGAATACATTGATCAAACATTCGTTTCCACTGACCAGTCTGCTCACAACATTAATCCCAATAGTAGCGAGTGTGGTTACCGCAATGATAATTATAGTGAGACTGAAACCCTATGTATTTAGTAACGCAAATACCGACGTAGCTAATACTATGTTAGCAAAAAATCTGGAGACGTAGTCGTCAAAACATATAGTCACATACCCCTCTTCTCTTTTCTTCATAAATTCCTTCTAAATAGGCAGTTTTGGGGTCGTTGGGCGCGTTGTCATAGAGTTCCCGTTGTTTCGGGGTCAGACTATTAAGAATCTTTTGTAGTTTTTTTGGCATAACTGAAGCCGAACCAGATGCTTTCTTATCCTCAACCACGTTTATTTCGTCCACAGTTTCAGGAATGAGCTATTTGTCTCTGAAACAATAAAAAAGCCATTAATACAGCTGATCAGATCGCAAACTGACTATTTACAAATCCAACAAACCTTGAGCCGAAGTCATTGTGAGTAGTAGATTGAAAACAAAGAAGAGGATAATGAAAAGGCAAACAAGGGAAAAGACTGGCAAGAGAGGAAGAAGTAAGAGCTATCCGACTTTTAATCTTTAGCAATTATCATTGTTATTGTGGCAATTGCCAAGCCACCATCCATTGTGGTTTCACACATTGTCCATTTGCCCACACAATCGTAAGTGTAACTATTAAATAAAACTCCCTACTACTAGTACACGTATATTGGATTTTAGTAGTATAACGATGTGTATAATAATAAATTACGTACGATTCTAAAAGAATTGGTCTTCAATAAAGGAAAACGAGGCAACAATATTGACTAATCAAATAGAAATGGCTAACCCGACACTTTATTTACAGAGTGTCCGCGCGCCACTCTGGGTTTCCTTGGCGTGTTGCTAGAATTGTGCTCTATTAAACAAAGCATCGATACTAGACGGTGTCTGCGTGCCACCCTAGGTTTTCTCGTGGCACAATTGATTGTCAATATATACAGTATATATATTCTTGCTTTTGAGCTTACAAAAAATGGAAGAAAAGTGGTTAGCTAACCTTAGTAAATTAGCAAAAAATGAAGAAACTGCAGAGGTGAGCCAGGAATATGACATTAACTTTCTGGTATTCTACTCTAATAAAATGAATTATTTGCATAGCATGAATATCATACATTGCTAAATAAAGATGTGAGGAAAGAGAAGATGATCTACTCCAGCTACCTGTTAGAATCACAGAAATCCAAGCACCAAATCAACAGAGAGGAAGAGGCAACGATAACCAAAAGGGTGAGTCTAGTTGATATATAATTTTGTAAATCAAATTAAATTGTACAGATAACTGACATATTTTATATGATGAAATCAAGCAAAAAGATTTAACAAATGTATCACTTGAAGATGATGACAAAAGTAATACTACCAACGTTGCATATTCTGGAAAAAGTATGGATGATCTTCTTCCTGGCGACCAAGTACAGTACATTCAAAAAAACCTCTCATGGAATCAAATCATTCTGATTGTTTGCATTCATCATCATCTGTTCCGTCTTCTAATATTAATTGCGAAGGTAATAATGATCTTAGGTTTTTGACATTTTCGAAGGAATATAATGGACTAATTTATATGCACCACATATAAAACCAAGGGACTCGTCTTCTGTATTGGTCAAAAAAGATCTAGTCAAACTTGCTGAGTTTCAGGCAGGTGCCTTGGATGAATTAACCAAGAAATTTGGAAATAGAATCGGGATAATTTCTTTTGGTATATGGATATGTGGTAAGTACACATAATTTGGACTGACTTTTTAGTGCATTTATTAACATTCATAGGTGAGCATATTCGCGTCTACGAGATGGACCTTAATTATGACGGAATATACAGGATGATCTTGATTGCAGATGTATGTGTCCCAATTGAACGGGAAAAAATTGTAGGCTTGCTACCAGTTTTGGAAGCGTTTTATAATGTTAAAGTAAGTGGTTAAAATTGTAGCTGTTTACTACATTTGATGTAAATCGGCACCAAACATTTTAACATCCTTTTTTTGTGATTTTAAGCAATGTATTTCCGAACTTTTAACAGTAATTGCCTCTGACATCCCCCATCACGTTTTTCCTATGGTAGAATGCCTACCCCTTCGCCAAAACCTGTCAGGGTTGCAATTACCGGTCTGCAACCAACTTGATTTTTTGTATATCAATTATCTTATGTACACGTGGTAAAAAAAGATCGTAAATGATTTTAATACAGTTTCGCCGAAATTGAGGTTGAGTGTTTGCACTTTGAAGAAATAAAACGCGCTTCATTTTTGATCAACGTGATATCACTAAGTATTGACGTTTGAAGCCAGTTAAATTATATATTTATTTTTTAACGCTTGACGACGGGCCGTCGCCGAAATTTTTAGTTATACATTTTAAATAAATAATTGGATATATACAAACTACTACTAAAACATGCAATCCGAGGTTGATTCATTAAAACAACGAATTTCTGAGCTTGAAGCCGAAAATGTACGTTCGTGTATTCTTTTAAAAAAACCTCTCATCTTAGAAAAAAAATCGGAAAATTCGACTCGAGTGGCAATGGAAAGGAAGGAATTGGACTGTTGCAGACTAGAAGAAAGTCATATGGTCGGATGAATCTACTGAAAAAACACAGTCCTCAGCTTTCAAATGTTCATAAACTTGAGAAGGCAGCAAAAGAAGAGTGTAATGCGCTTCCGCAAAAAGTATATCGTAATTTGATATTATCTATGCCCAACCGTATTCAAGCTGTGATTGCTGCAAATGGAGGAAATACTAACTAACTATTGACGTTCACTTTAAGTAAATAAAAAAACTTCTTCAATATTATAAATATAAAAGTGTGCAATACTTTTGTCCCCCCCCGTAAGTTATATATACCCTGTCGCTCCTCTCCATAACGCATGTATCGGCTTCACAACAACCTCTCCTTCTCCAAAGCGCACACACAATGCTATCAAAAAGTTAATATACAACAACGAACAACGCCCTTTGCTGCTACTGTTCCATATTACGAAAATACGACAGTTTTCTACAACTCACGAACAAGTCCTCAAATAACGAAATATTAACAGTCAAGTTACGTTGTGACAATCCGTTTTACCGAAAATCCGATATAACAGGCTCAGAAAATGTTTGGTATAACGGTTTTTATTTATTGTCACAGAAATCCAGCTGAAGCTGAAACCATGACCTTTCATTGGTTGATCAGATTTTATTCTCTAATCCCATTGGTTAGTTTCAGCTTCAGCTGGATTTCAGCATCAGCTCTCACATTTTTATTACTTGATATTTATTAAGTTTGTTAATGTACGCAAACCTGCTGGGGTGAAATGCCATTTTTTTTGCTAGAGCTTTCTGTTGAACGTTTGCATTAGAGGCACGTTTGCAAATTTCTTTCTTTTTTAAAGCAGTTAACGAAACCCTTGTCCATAATATTGTATGTTAGTAATATTAACAAGAAGCAAAAATATTTGACAACTTGATCTTTATTAAATTTCTACTACTAATATTGCTATGGATTATAACAGATTCGGTCACTTAGTACAGATCTACTACAAATATAACAAATTCGGCCATTTTAGTACTACAAATTCTAACGGATCTACTGCTAACTATAACGGGCTCCGTTATTCCGTTATATTGAACAATGTCTTATTTCATCGAAAAAAATCCGAACCGCACTACAACAATTTAATAGTAAAATCCGCTATATTTAATTAGTAAAACTCTGGTTCCAAGAAAAAAAAACCGTACTAAGCGAAATCCGTTATATTAACGAACCGTTATATCGATACTAAGTAAGCAACTTTGTTATTGAAACTGATTCGTTCGAACGAAACGATAATAAATGCAATTTCTGAAACCTCTTTAAATCCCTCGTAACGAAAGTGAGTGAAGAAGAATATACATTATCATCCCTCTTTTTGAGGTGTCGAATATGGTAAATCGAAAAACAAGAAAAATAACACGAAAAACGGTTTGCAAAATGCTCTGCTGGGGCCACTCTCAATTTCGCCAACACCTGGTGGCTAAAGCAGAAGAATTAGGGGTCCGTGTTATTATTCAAAACGAGGCCTATACTTCCAAAACTTGCAGCTGGTGTGAAAGCGTTCAAAATATAGGAGGGTCCGAGACGTACAAGTTCGAAATTGTGGAACTGTAATGGATCGAGATGAAAATGGCGCTCGGGGAATCTTTCTCCGGGCATTGCTTGATGGAGCCTTGATCCTCTCCGGAGATCATGCAGGAAATATAAACATTTGTTTTTTAAATTAAAATAATCCTTCATATTTTAACAGAAATATTTGCCTGTAAAAGCAGTATAATTGGCCAGCAGCACAACTAAAAAAGAAACGCTCTTAACACACTCATTATCACATGGGAAGATATAATTAGTTTACAGCTATATTAATATGCTATTATTACGGCCAAAGAATTCCGTGGACCGGGTTGACCGTACAAGAGGTTCCACAGAATGCCAATTTTGGCGGGCCATAATTCATCCAACTTGCTTTTTGTATGCTGATAACGGACCTAAATATATCCGATCGGCTGCCATTGGGCGGACTTTGATTTTCTACATTACTAATCGCACACAACCGAAATGTCCTCAAATAACGCTGGTTTGAATGCAATCCATAACCCAATACTTAACACTTCGATTTTCATCGCCCAGACAAACCTTATTACCTAGATTCATTCCTCGATCAGTTCTTCTGTCACCAGTTAAAATGCCCAATAAGATTGCTCTTCTTGAAGAAGCGGAGAAGCGTGTGCTCCGGGATGTGAAAACACCCTTGAAGAGTCATATGGTTAAAATTCCAAGGAAATTTCTCGAGACCAAGGATATCGATAGCCTAAAGAACAAGAACGGGAAAACATGGGACATCAGTACTATCTCTTTTACAAATTTGGAGAAGGAAAAGCCCATTTGCGTACTTGTACATGGATGTGAGTTTAGAATGTGTGGATTTTAATGTACATTGTAGTATGTATATCTAACAGATTTGCCTCAATCCCATGATATCTTGTGATCAGGGGGTGCCGGTGGGTAATTAAGTTGTATTCTTAGTAGACTTTGCTTCGTTTTGATTACTTACCTCTATTAATAACCGTTCGTCAACAGGTAAAGGAATATACGTTCAGTCATTTGATGATCTAGCTTCTGTCTACCAAGTCCATGCGATAGATTTACTGGGATGGGGCAGAAGCTCAAGACCATGCTATAAATATGGCGATGATCCATCAAAAGCACAGAGATGGTGGGTCGAGAGTTTGGAAGCATGGAGAGTGGCTATGGGAATAGAAAAGTTTACGCTTGTCGGGCATTCTATGGGAGGGTAAGTTGCCTAGTCAGTTGCTAGAAAGGTTGTATATGCTTAGTCTGATGTGACCTAATAATAGAATTTATGAATTCTTACATCTTTATGTAATAGATTTGTTGCTGCATCATATGCGCTAAAATACAAACAGCATCTTGATAAACTCGTTCTTGTATCCCCAATAGGTAAGCTACTATCAGTGAGTTTATTTCCAATCGTCATTCTTCTATTGACAATTCCCCCACTTGCGCGCACAATGAAAGGTCTCCAAGGTTTCCAAACTCCAGACTTTTCAATTTCGTTCACACAATCTATACTTATATCTTCGGTATGGTCACTTACGCCTCAGCGCATAGTCAGCATGCTGCCGCGTAAACGCACTATCAGTTATTTATCCAGACAAAGAGTTGATCTGCTGGAAGCATTTCCGTATACAGATAGAACCATTATGCATTACTTTTATTTTCTCGCAGTACAATCACCTATATCCGGTGAAGCTGCATTCAAACGGTTAGGAACGCCGTTCAAAGGATGGCATTTACCGCTAAAAGATGAGCTACATAAGCTTGGTGATTTGCCAGTAGTGTTGATGTATGGCGAGGATGACTGGATGGATCCGTCGTTTGCCGTGTATGAGCTGAAAGAAAAAATATTACCTAATGCTAAAGGTAAGAAATAATGATGGTCATGAAAAGCAAACTAATTTGTGAATGACTAGCTGACCGTTGATTGTTATCTCATTCCTTAGTTTATATATTACCTGATTCTGGCCATCATCTATATGCAGAGAGATGGATGGAATTTAACGAGATTGTGATTAATGGAGAAAAGGCATTTCCTAGTTGCTGGATTAGAGAATTTAATCCTGCTATAGACCCACTCAAGAAACGCGTTTTCAGCGTTGCATAATATCATACTTATTAATGATTTGTATCTATATAATATTTATGAACTAGACATTTTAGAAGAGAGAACGAAGTAATTTATTAGTAACTAGTCGCCTATATTAAAACCTATCAGCACTAATAAATTAGGAATAACAAGTCCTGTCAGGGAATAGGCTCCCGCGTCAGCCTAAGCTGACTCTTTGTAATATATCGAAGAAGAATATTGCGAGCACCATTAATGTCTCTATGAGGTTTGTTTTACATTGGGGACAGCTAAACACCTTATATCCACCAAGCTTTTTATGAATATGACCGCAGGATCCACAAGTTTTACGGTGTATTCAAATTACGACACCAGGGATGCTCGCATGCCTTATGGATCAAATGCCATTGAAAGCGATAATGTGACCATGTACACATGGCTCGAGCAGTCTTGGAATTAATGCGTCATTGTCCACGTCGGACCATTCCTTGAGTGCGGAATTCGGGTAGTAATATTATGCGATAGTTTTCACAAAGCCATTTAGCTAGTTTATGATGACAATCATCTTGTGAATGCATAACATAACACGACGTATTCTACAATTGAAAGTAGTCTTAGTATATATATTAAATAAATAATTAATTTAATTAATAAAATTTACCTGTAACGCTTTTGCTTATTTCTTTTCCCATGAATACAATCGCGTTTACTTTGAAGCTTGTCGCATGCATGGCTTAATCGATAAATTCGGCCAGTGTCATTTT